TCAGTGATTTGTAGACATACATGAGTATTTTGAACTGGATTCGAAAGTGAACCGGTAACCAGTGCAGTGAGGCCAAAACTGGTGTAATGTGCTCTCTTTTGCCTGTACAGGTTAAAAATCGGGCTGCTGCATTCTGGACCAGTTGTAGTCGTGCAATGGAGGTCTGACTGATACCAAACAGGAGCGAATTGCAGTAATCAAGCCTAGATGTAATGAATGCATGTATTACTGTCTCCAGGTTCTTTTTGGAAAATATGGGCTTAAGTTTAGACAGCCGCCTCAGTTGGAAGAAACATGATTTAACAATCATGTTTACATGATTATTAAGTTTCAGGGAAGGGTCCATTATCACGCCCAGATTTGTGACTCTGTTTTTCTGACAGGGTTAGAGCGGAGAGGTCGATGCAGTAGTTTGTGATCGTGTCGTTGGGAGGGAACAACATGACTTCAGACTTCTTTTCATTGAAACTTAAGAAGTTTAAAGCCATCCAGTCCCTGATGTCAGCCAGGCAGTTGAGCAGCGGTTGAATATAGCATGTACCATTGTGTCTTAGGGGGAAGTAAATTTGACAGTCATCGGCATAGAAGTGGAAGGGCATGTTGTGTTTCCGAAAATAGCACCAAGCGGCAGCAGGTATAAAGAGAATAGGAGGGGACCCAGTATGGACCCCTGCGAAACCCCCCATTTAAGCTCTGCCTCTGCGGAACTAAAATCCTTGATGGAGACACAAAAGGATCTGTCAGCGAGGTAAGATCTGAACCAATTGAGGGCTGACCCTGTGATAGCCCACCCACTGCTCCAACCTAGCAATGAGGATCTCATGGTCGATGGTGTCAAAGGTGGCTGTGAGGTCCAACAGGACAAGCAGCACAGAATCACCGGTATCTGTGAATCTGAAGATGTCGTTAAAGACCTTCAGCAGGCAGTTTCAGTGCTGTGGAGAGGTTTAAAGCCAGATTGGAAAAGCTCTAAGATGGCGTGATCCTCCAGGAAGCACTTCAACTGGGACTCGACTATTTTCTCCAGTACTTTAGAAACAAATGGGAGTTTGGAGACAGGCCGGAAGTTGGAAACGAGTGAGGGGTCAAGGTTTGGTTTTTTCAGGAGAGGCTGGACGGCAGCATGTTTAAAGGTTTTTGGCACCACACCAGTGGATAAACTACTGTTTACTATAGCAAGAATGGACGGACCTAGAGTTGGAAACACCTCCTTTAGTAGTCGAGGGGGGACCACATCAAAGGGGGAACCAGAAAGTTTCAAGCTGCACATGACCTGCTCTAGAGAAGATAGAGTGATGGGTTCAAAATGGTCAAAAGGAGCTACAGATTGAGGTGGGATGGATGGGTCATGAGTTGGAGGGGAAATGAGAGCCCTGGTGGTCGCAATTTTTTCCACAATGAAATGTAAGAAGTTGTTGCACAGCTCAGTCGAGGCTTCCAGAGGTGATGGTTCAGTGAGGTGGAGAACAGAGACAGACAAGACAACAAGACAGACATATTTGTTCATAACTTTATTATTAGTGAGTCTGAGAGTTGACGGATTTTAGCGAACAGTTGCCAAACGCACCCTGACAAAATGAAAACAGTGCAACAAAACACAACTACTCCCTGCCGCAAAATGTTCCCTGGGGTCACATGCCGCCATAACATTACACACAGACTGATGTATTTCAAATGTTTATTTATTTTAATGCTCATGATTATAACTGACAACTAATGAAAACCTCAAACTGAGACACTCAAAGCTCTTTACAACAATCTGTGCCTCATTTACGCATTCATACAGCACTCTGCTGGATCTATACAAAGAATAATCAGAGTTTTATCACACTCATACACTGCTGGGACACACATCAGAGGCAGTGAGGGGTTCAGTGTCTTGCCCAGGAGCACTTCAGCATGTGACTGCTGGTGGAGTCGAACCCCCAACTCTCCCATTGGAGGAAGACTGCTCTAGCTTCTCAGCCACATCTGCCCCCAGATGAAGAGAATTATTATTTAATATATGTAAATAAATGTCTAAAAAATAAACTATTTAATGTAAATAGTTTATTTTTTAGACATTTATTTTGTCCAGTTACAGCTGTTAAAAAATGTGCCTTTGTGACAACTGGGACAAAGCTTTGACTCAGAAACATATTTTTGTTATTACTATATGGAAAGAAAAAATATCGAGATATATATCGTATATTTTGATTCATCTTCAAAATATCAAGATATTCATTTTGGTCCATATCGCCCAGCCCTAGAGTGTAGTAGAGTGCTGTGTGAATGCAATTAGCTGCTGTAACAGTTAATCTTAGTAAAGTCATTCAGCACTCACAATAACACTCATTTCACAGAAAACACTTGTGTTTCTTTTTTTTCCTGTTACAACAGATGAACATCCAACCTTCCTGCATAAAATCTAAAGTTCTACAGAGAAATGAAATATTGAAGGAGCAGCCATTTACGTTATATTAGGTTTGGTCAAATGTATATTCTGAGAAAAGGTTTAAAATCATTTGTTTGGAATAGCACATGTTAAGTTAAACAAATAAAGAATATTTAAAGGGTCTGGTGTAAAGGATGACATTTTTTCGGGAGTACCGCGGGTCACGTGATTCCGGCCGGATTCCGGCGAGACCAGAGTCAAACTCATTATAACTCACGTGACCAGACTGAAGGGTAACGGGAGCAGACAGGAGCGGGAACCGACCAATAACCAAAAATGAAAATGAAACCCAAAAAAATAAATAAATAAAAAACACGGATGCAGCTATTTTGTGGTTTTCTTTCAGTAAGCCTTCACTTTAACACAAGTCAAAAGAACTACATTTCCCAGAAGTCAACTGTTCCAACCGTAGCTTTTCCCCAAGAGGGTGGGAGGAGCAGCGAAGTGGTACTGAGTAACTGAAAATAGTTTGCAACGCAAGGTAAGAAGTAACTGTCTGTCTATTAAACTCGCAGAACGGGCAGGAAAGTGTCAAATTACCCTGAACTTAAAGAGTTGTGATGGTGCTGTGCTGCTTTAAACGTTTACTCTCAGCTGCGGGGAGTCGGACTTTGTTTACCGTCAGTAAATAAACTCAAACAGCGCATTTTTCTCCACCTTGTCTCTTTTGATTAAAAAATTATGCTCTGCTTTGTTATGTGGGTTTTTAATGTAAAAAAAAACAACTGAACTCTTCCTGGTTAAAGTGCACACATTCTCCGGTAAAAATATCCCTATTTTTATATTGTGACGTTCTGCTGGATACTGAAATCGAGGAAAACGTGAATAATCATCACTTTATTGTGTAAATATTTACTGTCGGCTGTAACCATGCCAGTACAACAACAAACTCGTTAGTGAAAGCATTCTCCGGTAAAAATATCCCAGTTTTTATATGAAAAACTGGTTACATATACATTATAATAACTGTTTTAGTTTTAGATTTAAGATATGATGTGTATGTTGTTGTGTTAAATTTTAGGTCAAGAGTTGATTTTTCTCAGTTCATTTCTTCACACCAGGGGCGATCCTAGAAGCCCTTTTTAGGGGCCTTAGCCCCCCAGTGTTGACAATGGCTCTTGGCTTGAACAACACAGTGCGTATTATCATTAGAATTACTGTAGGGGGGACATGTTGGTGTGAGGTCTGTGGGTCCTCCCCATAACTTTTTAATAAAGTAGCTGCTATTTCCTGCATTCTGGTGTATTTTAACAGGTTTTAAAACATTTATGTTTACCTACATAAGTAAATACTTTATTCACTAACTGTTTTATAAAGCATGGCACAAGAAGTAGCACTAAGCTTTTTGTTTGTCTTTAATTTAATTTAATTTTTCTACCTAACACAGGAAGCTGTTAGCTCTGGAAGCAAACTGTTAAACAGCTTTGGACACAAAGACCCTTGTCACACACTTCAACAGAGCAGGTAAGATACATAAAATCTTATAATCTCTGCCTGGTGAGGCTGATTAAATAATTATAAAATATGATAAGTGAAATAAATAAAGAAAAATTGAGCTTCTATAATTTATAATTGCAAATGTCACTTTTTTTTTTTTTTACTTAGTTTCTAATTGTAAATCTCTTGTTTTTGATAAAATATTTTTTTCCAAAAGAAAGACCAACAGATTGTAATTTGTAGTCACTGTGACACTATTTTGACTCATGCACGTCTTCTGTCACTTTTAGGTTCCACAAGGCTCTGGACTGGTCCAGCTGTGGAGAGATGAGGTGGAACACCAGACCTGCAATGGTCCAGTCTGTAAATGATGCTCTGAAGTCTGGTGAGATGCACGACATCCTGCTTCACCCAAACGAGCTCGTTACCTCGACCACATACACTGAACTTCTTGAGGACGTCGTCCAATGTATAATAACGCCTTTAAACATTTTTATTTGTTGACTTCTCTGCTTGGTACATTATTTTTCTTTTTTTGCTAGTTTGTTTAAACAATTTAAAACATGACAGTAATGTCACTGTTTAAAGGAAACAGTTGCTCAATAAATTAGTAAAATGCAACTTGTTGTGTTTGGGTTCTTTCATCTAAGGTAGACATGGTGTGACCCATGGACTGGTTTAGATTTTTTGTTTTTACTGTAACTGACCTTCAAAAGAGCCAGAAACAGACTCAGCAGCTGATCCTCCGTAGAATAATTATATGGACTACAGGACATGGATTTGATTTGTGCCCTTTAGTGAAGGTTTTTGTTTGAATTAAGACAATAAATGTCTCTATTTCACCACAGATGAACTGTTCCTGTTGCCATATCTTTTGAAATAAAACTACACAACACAAAGTAATTTAAACAGGAATGGGTAGAAGATCAAATCAAATTCAAAGTATTTCCTAAAAATTAAATTAAAAACAGGAGCAGGAGTCATGTTACCAGGAGTGGGACAGGACAGGATTTTTTGTGTGGGACCAGGACAGGACAGGAGTGAAAATCCACTCCTGTGTCATCCTCTAGTGTAAAGTGTCAGCATGGTGTCTGGTTTAAAGCAGAGTGTTGAAAACAACATGCATGGATCGTACCGTTCACGTGGCAGACGTCTCTGATGTAAGCCATGAGCACAGCCATGAGTGTGTCCAGCCGGTCGGCCACAGGATGGCTCATCACACTCGTCCTGGTCGGCTGATCTGCTGACATGTCCTCATCCTTCCACAAATACAAACACAGGAAGGAAGAAAACGAAGAGGTCAGAGCAGAGCTTTCAAACCTGGGGAGGCAGGGTCAGTGCAGGAGGGGGTGCACAACATAAACTAATATTTTAATGTTTACACGCTTCTTCTTTCAACTTTTCCTTCTCCGGGGGTCACCACAGCAAGTCGTCATCCTTCATCTCTCTCTGTCCTCTGTATCCTCTGTCATCACTCCACCTACCTCCATGTCCTCTCTAACTGCATCCATATGTCTCCTCTTTGTCATTTCCTGGCAGCTGCATTTCTAACATCATTTTTACCAATATACCCACTGTCCCTCCTCTGGACATGTCCAAACCACTGTCCCTCCTCTGGACATGTCCAAACCACTGTCTCTCCTCTGGGAATGTCCAAACCACTGTCCCTCCTCTGGACATGTCCAAACCACTGTCCCTGCTCTGGACACATCCAAACCACTGTCCCTCCTCTGGACACGTCCAAACCACTGTCCCTCCTCTGGACACATCCAAACCACTGTCCCTCCTCTGGACACGTCCAAACCACTGTCCCTCCTCTGGACATGTCCAAACCACAGTCCCTGCTCTGGACATGTCCAAACCACTGTCCCTCCTCTGGAAATGTCCAAACCACTGTCCCTCCTCTGGACATGTCCAAACCACTGTCC